ATCGTGAACCGACCAATGTTAAACCATCATTGAAAACCTGGAAGCGTTGAATAATCATTTCATCTTAGTATCGAACTCCACAGCTCTGATTGATCCATGATTTCAATTTAACTCAGTAATCTCTCCAACCTCAAACTGAAAATTATTAATTTCACTTATTAATATTCTTATCATCATCATCATCATCATCATCATCATCATCATCATCATCATCATCATCATCATCATCATCATCATCATCATCAGAGTTGTATTACCGATAACAAAAACAGTCAGCCAGCTATAAATAGGTTAGTTATTTCTGTAACAAAACTTTTAAATAACATACTCTTAAGTTTTGAATTATTGAATGCTATGGCAAAACATCATCTCATGTAGGTGATCCATAATAATGACCGAACATTATTAGCGATTTGTTCTAACTAGTCTTTGGGTAATGTAATTACAAATTTTCATGGTCCATCAGTTATATTAGAAAAATGCAAGCACTAAGCTAATCAAATGATTGTTTGCAAAGTTGAAGACAATAATAAAGTTAGGAAAGAAAACAGCATTAGTTGAAAAACATCAACCAATTTTAATGGATTCTAATTTATGAAATATCAATGTAAACGACTATTTACCGGAGAAACTTCCTTTAATTCGAACAAATGCACTTGTGAGAGCATTTTTAGTTAGTTCACCTTTTGCCAGCAAACGAAATTAGAACAAACGTTACGTAATCATAATAACAGTTTGGTATATTCAGTGATTAGTGTCGATAGTCAGGAAGTCCTCAACAAGACGACATAACATTGACTAGTGTGAACTAGTTAGTATAATTAGATGTATTTTCGACATAACACTTCATTCTGAAGAACTTAAAGGAGATTAAATTCCATAATAAATACAATATGAGTGACCATTCATATTTATTCTGAAGAAATCGTACAACACTCGACTCAGTTTATTTTGACGCAGCAATTATATATATATATATATATATATATATATATATATATATATATATATATATATATATATATATATATATATATATATATATATATATTGATCTGTTGTCGTTTAAAGTATTCCACGAAAGTCCTCGAACGTGAGGCTTTTCAACAGTCTCATTGTTTCATATTTTACGTAAACGATTTTCGTAAATTTACTTTATCAACAACCACTGGAACCATGAATCATTGACTGGAAAGCACGAAACATGTATAATGATTACTGACCGTACAATGTACTGGTTACGACGCATATTGTACATGTGCAGTCATCATTCATCTAATTTGTTATTATCATCTAGCGCATGAGTAACTGTTAAAAAGATAAGAGTTAATTAGACCTAGAAATCAGCTTATCTTATCAGCAACTTTTAATCAGAATAACATCAGAAACTTTAATGATGCTCACTATGATCCGTAATATAATTATGATTACTTATAGCTCTATCTTATTTGTATAAATAACTGCAAATCTATTTCAAATATCCAGTCTACCAATCTAAACACTTAGATTCATCAATAATTTGATCATTTCTTTATTATTATTATTATTATTATTATTATTATTATTATTATTAGAAGCTTTATTCAATATTATATTTTTGGTACAACATAGAATTCTCAGCATAAAGTATTTCAACAAGTTTCCTTTTCTTATACCTTGATCTATTGTGACGATAAATTTTGAATGATGACCAGTTAGATGTTAGGAGTTCGGTAATCCACATTTGATTAATGTTCATTCGTTTCAATGCATATTGCCAGCCACCATGATGTCGCTGATTGTACCTTTTTGTATCACGTATAGCGAAAGGTTGTAAACTTTTCATAAACGCGCCTGAATAAATTGTGCGCACAATAGACATAATGATGTGCTAAAACAAACAACAAAACAGATAACTTGATGAAATATCTAGATCGGAGGAACAGGTAGCCCAGATATTCAAGAAGGCCGCCTTCCTTCCGATGCTTAATAGCTTATACATATAAATTACGTCTCATCTTAAGATTACAGAATCAAATATACGATGAATGTGTGCTTGTTTGATATTTATCCAAATGCGAAATTCACTCTATTTCCTTTTCCAAATATCAGTTAGCATAAAATACAGAGATTATACAAAGCAAAAGTGCATAGTAGGGTGATGTGACTAATATTACATTGACTGAGAATGATAAATTGTTTTGATCTAATCGTTTAGACTTGCTCTTGAGTTTGACCACTGTATATTGATCAAGTTGTATTATTGATTACCATGTGCAAAGAAAAGCAACTACAGTATGCACCCTGGTGTTGTTTTATCAATAGTAATCAGTATAAAGCATAGATTATCTTCGTATGTTAGAAATTTTTATTCGTGAGCTAACTAATAAATATTTGTTAACTCTAGTTCCATAGCATTTTTTATCGAATACTTCAATAGGTGGTGGTTATAGACAGTCGACAAATATCTTTGAACCTTGGTTTCTCCTTAGTTGGCGTTGATCAATAAGGTGTACCTGTAATCTTAAGAGAACTGATGTTCCGTGGTGAATCCGATCCCATTTCACCCAACTTCACATTCAGAGACGTTACCAATGAGCTATCTCGACCACGTCTGACTTCCTGTAGTGAAGTAGACTAGCGTTCGAATTGAAACGTGATAGACAGAATTCAATCTGCACTAAGAAAGACCTGACACATATGGCATTAATCATAACCTAGTAATCAGTCAATTTTGAACATTTTAAAACCCTATTCAAAAGATGAAGATCGTATACATTAAAGAACGAACAATTACTGAAAAATGTTTGGAGAATGTCAGCTTTCACGTTGAGGAACCATGAATCTTCTTTGTAAAATACTCAGAGTTTAAATAGTCAAAATGGTTGTTCCTGGTTAGCGACTTTTTAGCAAGGTTCTTTTTTGCGGAATAAAACTGGTAGCACCATATCCAAGCCTCCTCCTTTTCACAGGCCCAGAACCGATAGTAACCCTAGAAAAGGCTTCTGGAGGAGATTTTAAAAATCTTTAGGAAATTATAAAGTAAGAAGTAACTCTGAGACTAATCTTTAGGCCTTTTAAAGTACTTCTAGAGAAGATTTTTATAAAATGTACTATCATCTAATTGTTTGCAGTAATAAGTGTTTTAAAGAAACTTGCAATTAGTGCTTATATGAAATACAATGAAAGAATTTTCTCACTAAAATAAATAAAGTGAAGTAAAAAAGAATGAATATTCAAAGCTTATATTTCCCTTTATTACCCCATTTGTTGCTAACATGTCATTCATAATGGAAATGGAAATCACTATGTGATTCGTGACATACTAATGTAGAATATCATGAGTTAATTAGTCATAGTCGCATAACTGAATCACACAAATGATATCACAATATTTATTATGCGATTATTGACTATAACTATTCTAAGTTTATATTGATGATCAACTAATACACTACTATCATGGGCTTTCATATTTTATTAGAGGCCTTCATTTTATTGCAGATGATAATAACAATGCATTATTTTGAAAGCTGTGTTCACATGTCTTATATCCCGATAAGCATAATGAATGGTAACTTTTGGAATCCATTTATGGACCAATAATATGCGTATAGTTTTATCGTATTCATATTCATGCCCCTCTTATCATAAGCTTTATTTTGACCTATAGACTATTATTCTACGATTTACCATTCTTGAGTTATGCCGAGTTTATTAATTGCTACCTCCCACATTCACGGCCACTTTTAACAAGATCTTGTTCAAATGTTGTTTCCTATTTCGAAGGTACGATGTGGTCTGTCTGGTTGGTATATAAACCCGGTATGTTTGAAATAAATGATTCATGTTGCAGAGGCTGAGATTGGTGTTCTGGACTTAACTGTCTGGGCTAGACAGGAAGCAGGAACGATAAGGACTCTAGACTGCTCGCACGGGTTTCATGCGTCATAGGTTCAATTGATAATTTACTGCTCTCTAATTGGTGGTATCATACGTTATACATTAACAGGGCACACAGGGCACAAGTTAAAACAACATGTATCATTATTTCATCAACCGCGATCAAGTTATCAATGAACGTCGAATGAATTTCCTAGATATTTCAGAATTTAAGGTTTGTGATAGTCCAATGTGTTGAAAAGTGCTTAGTGAATTAGCAAAAAATTAATCTAGCACTCTTTGCTCATCAGTGATTTCAGTCTCATCACGATTAACAACTTGTAAATACCAGGTATTCCAACTAATTAGTTATATATGATCCATAAAATAATTCCTGGATTCTACAGCTCATCAAATATCATTTAAATCGTTGTTTTCAAATTTTTACCAGTTTTAATTTTTTTTAGTGACTTTTGTCTTGACAACAAATTTGGATAGTGTATTCATAGATATAAATTCATCAGAACCAGTATGATTTCAATAGTTGAAACCATGAGTGAATTAAAGCTAGACCTTCATGGAAAACCTGGAAGCACTGCACGGCCGTTTTGTCTATTGGTTCAGTGCTCGTGAGCGAGATTGATAGGTCCTGGGTTCGAATCTCGCGGAAGGCGGGATCGTGGATGTGTACTTCTGAGGAGTTTCATATTAGGACGAAACGACCTTCCAGTGGCCCCAGGTTTTCCATAGTGGTCTAGCTTCAATTGACTCATGATTTCAACTACTGAAATTGCTAAAATCTTCACAAAGCCACTCCTGACAATATGATCTAGTAGGGAAATACTTTTAAAATTGGTTCTGATCACATATTATGTTGTACTTATTATCTTGTACTCTTGTGTTTACTTATCGAATATAAATATGTGTGATCTGATTGTTTGAAGCATATTACTCTAATACATATATATTTATAGTACTGAAAACCTTAATCATTCAACCAGTCAGTCAAAATAAGTTAAAACACTATTGTTTTGATAACTTTACTTTCACACATTCATGATTGTTGTTAATGTTTGTGTAATGAAATAGTTTGTATTTCTGAAAATAACTTGAATCCTCTTTTGTCAAATACAGTCCCAGTTAGTACAATATAATTCTAGTAATTAAAAAAAGAAATCTGCTCTGTCCGTATATAATTCTATTCATTAAACAATTCATATTCAAATAAGCACATACGCACTCATTTCAACCAATCATATTAAAGTATGACCATTTCACATGTAATCCAATGAAAGGAAATAAAAGCAATCGAGTAACCTTGGTGACGAAACCTATGAACCAACCAATTTTAGAAATAATAACTAACATTAAATTACTATTATTATTATTATTACTATTATTATCAATACTGTTACTACTATTGCTTGGACAGTATTAATTTGTGCATACGTAATTTGTGGGTGGTGAACAGAATACAGGACAAGAAAGAAAAAAAAACGAAATTTGAAATTCTATAAAACCTCTAGTGACAACACGAACAACTACGATATTCATCAAGTTGAAAGATCAACGTCATAGTTACAAGTATCTGAAAAAAAAGTAAGTTTAATAAAATTTGGTCATTAGTCTAATCTTATTTTGATTGTGTAATAAGTATATGGTATAATTTAGTTAAATATAGATTTAATATACCCTAATTTATGGGTGCTTTATTTCAAAATAATCTATTAATGGATCTAATCCAAGTCATTTGTACATGAAACACTCATACTTATTGGCATAGACATTGATGATGTAAACTAGAAGTGAATATTCACACTTTGACAATCATGATGACTTAATTTTTCAGTAATTCATATCAACTTCATATCAAGAATGTAGAATTTTCCTCAAAATATGCATTAACTGGGTTTATATGGAGCATTCTCTTAATACAATAAACCCAGACAATAATAAATTAACTTTATATGTAGTTGGAAAGATGCTATTCAAATGGATTAATTAATATGATAAGTGAAGTTCTGTTTAGTTAATAATTATTTAACTATAATACATAACCAAATAGTGAGTGAAGTTCTATTTTAAAAGTTAATGTGGGATAGTGGATCCTTACTGCTGAGGAGTCCAATACGAGGACGAAACGAACATTCGATGCTTTCAAGTTTTTCATAGTGGTGTAGCTTTAAATGACTCATGAATTTAACTATTAGAAGTTACTACAATATCCACGAAACCCCATTCTGATACTTTTCAATTTCATTTAAATAAATAAACTGTTTTAATTATTTATCATTTTGATTAGTTTTCTTGTTGTTAACTTAAAAATATAATAAAATCAGATTCAGTGATCGATTGATTAATGTTCTATTCTTCATGATGCATTATTGATAGTGATGATCTTGAGATTAGTTTCGATAACAGTAGTGACAGGTTATAGTACTATTTTGTCTTCAAGTCGAGTCTAACAATCTCAAGATTGGAACATACTGATCGGAATCAACTGACAATATATGTAACTTTAAACTTTGAATTCGTTTCAGTTAAGTTTTAGTATTTTTAGTACTTTAGAACGTGAAATACACTTCAAAACTCATGATATCAATAACATTGAAGATGTATATTCAAGCTGTAATATAAATAGTAATCTGAAACGTAAAGATTTCTGTAAAACAATCGTAATAATTCCAACGTTTCTTCCAACTAACTTGTCTGGACTTCTTCAGGGTAATAATCAAAATTATCAAAGAAAGATTGATTTTGACTTCGATTATTACCCTGAAGAAGTCCAAACAAGTTATTTGGACGAAACGTTGGAATTAGTTAAATTTCAATCGCTGAAATTATTTCAAATATAATTTTCACATATAATGACTTCTCTTTACTCGGCGCCCAATTTCTGTCAAACTATTCGTCCTAATCATGATGAATATTCGTATAAATCGTAATAATTTTTTTGGAAATATAGGTAACATAGGACTAATTTATTCTTTCACTTGGGACTTATCAGTTGACTGCACTTACCTTCATTTTATTAAATGTAGATGTTTACGCAATGATTCGAACTCAATACATTTAGCTTCAAACATCAATGTGTTATTCCCTAATCTACTGTGTCATTAATTTCTTCAATAGGGAAATACAAACCTTAATGAATTATATTTATAATTATGATGATTATAATAGCCAGTTACGGGGAAGGGGTTTAGAATAATTCTATTTTTCAAAGTTTTACGTCTTATTCAATTAGGTATCACTTGAATGGTGCTTTGTGTATAAGTTGTTTTAAGTGATTGTTAACTAACTAGTCTGATAACGTTTACATTTCTAGCCAACTTAAATTGTTACATGTTTTATAAATCTATCAGATCAGATCATATTTCGTTTACACTGTCATACCTACACACAGATACGCATACACTACAATTTATTTCTAATTTTATTCATATCAATATCCGAAAAAAAAGTAAATTATGTACTTTTAAATTAATCGATTAACTAAGATTGTCACCGACTGATTTAGTTATTTTTATTAGTTCAACCTAAACACATGACTTGCTCAGGTGCTCATTAACATTAAATGTTGTCAGGAAATGAAGCTCGGTTTCAGTCTTTTATTTTTTTATTATTATTATTATTATTATTATTATTATTATTATTACTATTATTAGCTTAATTCACTAATATATTTTTGGTATAATATAGAAATAATAGCACAAAGTATTTCAACAAGTTTCTGTTTCTTATTTCTTAGTCGATTCTGACGATAAATATTGAGTGGTCGTCAGCTAGAAGTTAATAGTCCAGGAATCGACATTTGAATAATGTATATTCTTTTCACTAAATATTTCCAGTAACCACGATATCTCAAATGATTGTAACTTGTACAAAGAAATTTTGTAAACTTTTCATAAATGAACCCTGAATAGGTTATGCGACTAATAGCCATAATGATGTATTAAAATAAACAAAATATCTAAAGGGTAGAAACAGGTTGACCAGATACTCAAGCAGGCCGCCTTCCTTTATCTTTAAGGAAAAAGTCATACGATGAAAAATATGAATGTCGACTAATCAGAAGTATATTGTAGGTCAATTCTTTTAAATATTATTTGGACAATATATGGGTTATATGATATTTATACTCGATTATGTTCATTTAAACACAAATGACTTAATACATCCAAATATTTAACATTAAAGTGGATATTTCATGAGTGAAGTAATTAGAAAACACTTAACATTTCCTACTTTTATTCCCAACTTATTAAATTCTTATCAATAAGTGGTTTAATAGATTGACAGTTAGGATTTTAGATGAGATCAATTATAAACCAGAAAAAAAAGCTTATCTTGTTAACCACCCTCTTTAAATTCTTTAAACTAACACAAATAATGAGTTGAAATCCTGGAAACCCGAGACGATTGTTAACAGTGGAATCCAGGGCGCGCGTTTCGTCCTGTTCGGGACTAGTCAGCTGAATGTATCTGCATCTCAGAATTGATGTTCACTCTGGGACTCGAACTCAGTACCATTCGCTTCAAACGCCATCGCGTTATCCACTTAGCTACTGAGTTCTGATAGCCACTTGCTTGTGCAATGGGGTGAAGTTTAATTCACATGGTATTCAAGTAAAACAATATCAAGTGAAGTATGTTAAGTCTGTTATGTTAATTTTCGAATTTCTTTCATAAATTTTCATTTTCATTTGTACTTTAATCAACGTTGAATAAATGAATTTAATACAATTATGCAAATCACTAACATTTTACATCATAACTATTCTAGTTTATTAATCAGTAGTAAATGTTGATCATTGTACACTTGTAAAGTTGGTTTTTTTTTGGTAATTCACAAATAGAAGTCTCTCCAAGATACATCTCAAAAAAATTATTGCTTTAATTTAAAACAGAAGAGGATAAATTATACTTGAATCTAATTGACTAATTCATTCATTCATTCATTCAATTTAATATACTGTACATTTGTTTTCATTAGTGAGGATGTATTCGTTACAGGTTGATTTTAATTGAGATATTGTAGGAAACTTACTAGAGTCATCAGTTCATCCATGACTTGATTTAAGATATTCCTGAAGTTTTAGAGAAAAGTTATGACCGGTGGCGTTCAGATAATTTGAAAGTGAGACAGCTATCACCCATCAGATTGGATGATAGTTATGTTATATCATGAATTAATTGACGTTAAAGATGTGTACCATCATGTGTCAGCATAGTGCTTTCATGATGAAACGCAAGTAGTGATATTTGATGGTTATGGAATCGATTCCTGGTGAAATGTTGGGTAATCACTGCTAAATAGTCTCTTACTATAAAAACATAGCTGTCCAGTGCTCTCCAGTTCTTAATCGTACTTAATCTGAGATTAAAGTCATCTCAATTATATCTCTTCAATTAACTTAACTAAACTATATCCTTTTTGATAAGCTTTGAGATTTCCCACAACAGGCAAGCAATATTCCTTATCATCAAAATGTGTATAAATTTAAAAATGACCACTTTTGTTAAAGTTTCATCATTGCTTGATTGAGGTTAGCTGGGTACTAATGTAATAGCTTAGTGATGTATTAGAACATTTTAAATGGAGTAGAATCAAATAAGCTCAGATGTCATTGAATTACTGGAATATCTATGTTATGCTCTTTTCAATAGTACTCATGAGAATATTACAGCTGTGGTGTGATAACAACAATAACTTTGGATTCTCTGTCTACTTTCCTAAACTTAATGACATTTTCCAATTGAACAGCTACCTACAATGTTCACATCATACAGTTTTGAAAACCTAATATTCTTTGACGATATAGTCATGAAACTTTCATTAGCTTACTAGATAATTTCATCAACGTCTTGTTTGAATTGTTGAGCTTCTAAGAAAATTTTGCACGAATGCTCAATCAGTTCATCCTAATGAATTTGTTTATAATTGGTTATCGCTTTTGATTTCATCGTCTTCGTGTTTTTTCATTTTATTGTCACTAATTTTCTTGGTATACTGACCTTAGATTATGAGGGTTATTGACCTTTTATTACATGGATTAATGTTTAATGATTACACTTACTTACTTACTTACCTACCCCTGTTACCCCTGGTGGAGGAGCATAGGCAACCCACCAGCACATTCCATCCAACCTTGTCCTGAACAATCCTTTCCAGTTCATTCCAGTTGCTATTCATCCTTCTCATATCTGCTTCCCCTTCCCGACGTAATGTGTTCTTTGACCCTCCTCTTTTTCATTTCCCTTCAGAATTTCAAGTTAGCGCTAACTTAGTGATGCACTCTGATGATTTCCTTCATCTGTGTCTTATCCACTTCTATCGTCCTTTCCTAATTTCCTCCTAAAGTGGAAGCTAGTTTGTCCTCTCCCACAGTAGGGTGTTGCTGATTGCCTTAATGATTGCAGATTGAACTAAAATTTTTGTCTATTAGAGATTTCATAGGATGACAAGAGGTTCTTTGACTTTATCCAAGTCAAATTAATATTTATAATCATCTGGGTGCAATTTTTCTTGAGTTTTATTTAGTTGCTAATTAATATTCGTGTATGCACCTAGATGAAACTGATTTTGGTTTTGTTCA